ATATGCTTGACATATGCCTAAATATATATTGATGAAATAATAATAATAATAATTATATGTTTATTTTTATAGAAAATATGGTACACGCCTACTCATATGTGTTTAACGACATTTTAAATTAAAATAAATTAATAAGTAACGGTTTTTTTAAAAATAGGAAATAATAAATTAACATGAGAATAAGTTAAATAAAAATTTTTTATTTTTAAAATTCACAATATATACAAAAGATCACAAATAATTTTATTTTATCATAATAATAATAATAATTAATTACTTGTAAAAAAAAAGAAAATTAAAATAAAAAAATAATAATTTTTGTTAAATGGGAAAAAGAAAATTATTTCTCTTAACATTTGAATTTAAATTAACATTTAAAAACTGTTAAATTTGAATTTTAAATTCATCATTTTTCTACCTTTTTTTTTTTTTTTTTTTTACTTTCGTATAATATTTATATTATAAATTATTTTTATATTAATATTAATTACAAGAACAAAAAAGAAAAAAAAAAAAAAACTTATTCTCCATTTTGAAAAAATTTTTTTGGGTATTTCAATACTCCGGGCGTGGTTCTGTAATTACATGTTTTAATATATTTAATTAATTAATTAATTTCTTTAATTATATAATAAGAAAAGTTAAAATGCACAGTTCGGTAATTAACAACAAAAAAAAAAAAAATTTAATGAATTATATATATTTTTTTTTTTCAAAACACAATTTTTGTATCTTTTTCTGTTTAATTAGTATGAAAGAGTACTGGTCAACATCATTTTAAATATTTATAAATATTTATTTATTTAAATAATTTTTTCTCTTGTTAAATAATGATAATAACAGTACTTGATGTAAAAATAAAAATGAATAAATTGAGAAAAAAGAGAAAAAAACAAAAATAATAATTCTCATGTCACCTGCAATTAAGGGTTCATTAATGGCTGCCATAGGTGTTTATAAGCTTTTACTAATCTCGTTTTCGGTCTGCCTGCTTTGAAAAGAAATTAATACTCAATTAATTAAACCATATTTTACATACGTCACTATTAATTACAAATTACTGAAACATTTGCAATGACGCTCAATCAATTTTATTTTTATTTTTGATGTATTTATAATACATTTAATTGAAAAAAATCCTCTCTCTCTCTCTCTCTCTCTCTCTCTCTCTCTCTCACATTTAAACCATTTTCCTTAATTTTTATTTAAAATCATTCAGCTTATTTTTATTATCCAGGACTTAACAAATTTTTTGTGATGACCTATTTTTAATCATGTTGAAATTTTTCTTTTTAACATTACTTTTAAATTGTATGTATTTTTGTACATTATTTTTTGTACCTGTTGTAAGAAAAGGTAATTTTTTTGTGCACTTGTATTGATGGGTTGAAAAAGTTAAAGTAATGTCATTTATTTTAATTTTTTATATATTTAATTATCATGAGTATTTTGAAAAATGGTAATTAATAAAAATTATATTTTTTCCTCTAATTATTTTGAAAATTAATTTTTAATTTATTGGAATTTAAGTAATTTTTTTGTAATAAGGAAAACTTTTAAAAAAAAATTTAATTTTTAAGATTATAAAAATTTGACGTGGTTATAGAATTTGAAATAATTGGCAACCTTGGTTATATACATTGTTCGTCAAAACTTATGTTATATTTTGATTTTTGTAAAATTATTCTATTTAATAAATAAAAATTTGATATTGCTCAAATTTTTATTAAACAATAATTCACATTATAAAAATTTATTTCCTATTTTTTTTTTTTTTTGATATTTAATTTGTTTTTTTTTTTTTTTTTGATTTTTCAGAACATATTGAGGTATATATATTTTAAAACTTTTTATTAACTTTCCATTGTTTACTACAAATATTTTTATATTTTATTTTATAACTTTTTAACAAAATTAATAATTTATAATCTTAAAAATTTTTTTTTTTATTTCTTCTAATGTTTCAAAATTAAAATTAACTTACTAATGTATATAAAAATGTAGCATATCTATACATTTCCTTATATTTAAAATTTTTTAATGTACCTAATTGTATTTTTTGAAACAAACCCTTATGATTTTTAATTTTCAAAATTACTGCAATAATTTTCATTTTTTTCTTAATTAAATAAATTAGGGTTTTAATTTGAAAAAATCTAAAAATATAACAGTTATGTAAACAGTTAATTATAATAGTATGAATTAGTAAGGTTACCTGATAATTATCTACAGCATTTATTAACTTTAGAGTTTGTTGTTTTTTTTATTTAATTAAAAATAAATTTTAGAAAACGTAGGGTTTGAAAATAAAGTAAATACAGTATAAACAACTTCTAATTAGGAATAAGATGTAAAAAATATTATAGTATTTTTCAAAAATAATAAATATACATTAATGTTAGGCAAAACAAAATGCAACTGTTTTTTTTTTTTTTTTTGTACGTTTTATTCTTGTATGTATCATATTCTGTCAGAAACCTTTTTAATTCATAATTTTTCACAAGTTAATAATAAAAAAATTGTAAAACTTAATTTCAAATAATAGCAAATTATATTTTTACTTATTATTGTCACATTTTTAGGAATACTGTATGGTTATTTTAAAAAATATATATTTGTTAATATTTAAATTGAAAAAATATGGAACTTGGAATGAATGGTGAAATTTTACTACATGGGAATAATACAATATTTGATGATGCTGAGCACTTTTCTAAAAATTATAATTATAAACTTCTTCCAATTAATTTTGAGATAATGAATGAAGAAATTATTTTAACTGAACACAATTATTGTAACATAGAAATTAGCTCAGGATCAGAATCAGAGGATTATTGCTCAAGAACCATAGGTTATATTAAAGTGAATTCGGAAAATTTTAATAAGAGAAAATTCAAATTTAAGGGAGAAACAGGTGAAATAAATTAGGTTGTATATAAAAAAAACTTAAAAAACTTTAAAAAAAAACTTATATTAGATTAATACATATTTTATAAAACATTTCTTTTTTTACTAAATATGTTGCTTGTCTATTTCATAAATAAGCAATGACAAAATATTTAAATTGATTTTATAAATCAAAATAAGGAAAAACTTATATTTTTAAATTAAAAATATAATTTTTATGATTCTAATTTAACTTTTAAATTTATTTTATAGACAATTAAAAATTTTTATAGGTCAAAAAAATAAGAGAAGAAATATCAAAACAACTTCGGAATCTTTATTAAATGGTTACAAGAAACCTCTTTTAAATTTGACAAACACTGAAGATTTGGCTGCTGAATCTTCGGATTTTACCACCTCTGATTTTGAAAAAACTGATCATTGCTATGAAAACAATTTTAATGATGATACAAAAAATGCTTCAAATTCTAATACTGACAACTCTTGCAAAGAAAATTTTAATTCTAATATGAAATTTATAGAAGTTACCATCACTGGGCCTAGTAAAGAAAAAAATTATGAACCATGTGATTTATTTTTAAATGATATGGCCAAATTAGTACCTAAACTAATAGGGAAAAACGCGTGTAAAATTGATATACTAGACCTAACCTGTGATAATTTTTCGGACTTAAATAAGCCAAGATTATATTATATCATTTCAGAATCCACTTGGCATTTGTTTAAAAATATGAAAGAAAGAGTTATTTTAACAAATGACAAAAGTATAGGGGAGCCCTTAAAACATAAAGATCATAATGAAAAACCTATTTATATGGTTTTTGATCAAGTTTCATTGACCAAGTGCCTTTCTGATTACTGTACTGAAACGGGTGGTTCCTTTGAATATAAATTAGTAGATCATTCAGAATTGAAAAGTGATGAATAAACAAAATATTTAATTAAATAAAATGATGTGTCAAAGTATAGGGGTAAATCAGACAATTCAAGATTAAATAAAAAAACTTTAATAAAAATGTTTTTTATAGTATTATAATTATCTTTAAAATTTTCAAAGAAAGGAAATGTCAATATTTTACTCTCTGTTAACATTTAATTATAGAATGTATATATTAATTTTTTTTTTAAAACTATATAAAAAAAAAACATTTGAAGTTTATTTCACTTAAAGATGCCTTAAAGTAAAATATAATTTTTACAGATTTGTTAAATAAAATAATTATACGAAGTATGATTTTTCTTTATTTGTGATGAAATGGTGGATTTAAAAAATTATTTTTATTTTGTTTTTTAAAAGTATATTGTCAATAAATTTATATTTAATTATTTTATTTTTATAAAAGAAAAATATATATGTTATTATTAAAATTACAATCATTTTGTAATGTTTATTGTCTGTTTTTCTGTTGGAAAAAATTTTAATTTGTATCATAGTAATCATAATTATTGTAACGCATTTCCGGTTATTAATATACCACGTTCAAGTCATAAATTTTACTTTAGCTGTTAGACAATGAATTAAATCAAAGTTTTTTGTAAAACATTTTTAAGGAGGTGTTTACATTAAAACTTGGCTAATATATAAGTTCAATAAAATTTTTAATAAAAAATTTATTTTTGTAATTTATAAATCAATGTGGATATAAAAATTAATTTTTTTGTAATAAATTATTTTCATGCAGTTTTTTGTAAGTTATACTCGCATTTTAACTCATTACTTTTAAATGTTTATTTCTAATGAATTTAATTACTGATAGTTATTCATATATGTTTTAATAAGGATAAAGTGATTTGGGTTCTTGTTAAAAATTAATGTGTTTAAAGTATTTTAGGAAAAATTAAATAAGTTTACAAAAGAGTTATAAATTCGGGAAGTAATAAAAAATATCGTTTTATTCTATACTATGCAAATTTAAAACTTTTCTTAAAAATATCACAGAGTAATAGATTTCAATGGAATATTTCAGTTAAAAAGTTTGATTAAGTTGGCAACACTAACAAATTCATTTAAAACTGACCTTTAGTAGTATTTCTGTTGAGATTATTTTTACTCGGCTTCTTATTAATTCTCTAATTTTTTTTTTTTTAACTGTGCAAAATGAAATAAATCTATGGCAGAACATCGAAATCGGTCTTCTCTTGAATCTACGGAATCATTGTTAAAAAAATTATGTTTTATAATCGCGGAAAAAAATCAAGGTAAATTGTCAGTTGATTTTGGCTCCTAAATTTTTATAATCATTGTTCAGTGATAAAAACAAATCTAATAAAAATTTTAAAAATTCAACAAAGAAATGTAACCTTAATTAAAAACTAAATTTACGAAATATTTAAAAATTATATATTTATGGCTTTTTCGAGTTAGAAATGTTTTATGTAATTATAAATTAATAAGCATTTTTTATATTAGTTCAATTAAATCAAACCTTTATTTAGTTTATTAAAATTATATTTTTAGTTTTTAATTAAATACTACAAAAATGTTTAAGTTTCCAAACGTCAAACGTCAAATTGTAAATTTTGATTTTTTTAAATTTATGCAATTTTATTGTTTTAATTAATTTACATTTTAATTTTTATTTACATAAAATAACAAATGTAACACTTTAATATGAATTTAAAATATCTTAGAATTAAAATTGTATTATTAATTTTATTTACATTTATTCTTTTTAGATGTAGCTGATAATTTTTATATTATCATGAGAGATTTACTTTCTCATGATAGGTTTAAAAAAATACAACACAGTCCTAGACTTTTATCACAAAACTCCTCAGCAGCATCTCTTTCAAATTGTAGTACAGGTATTTTCACAGAAAGTGTCCATGACCTCAATATTGGTACTGATGAGGAGCTCATTAATGACCAAAAAAAAATTATGCAGTATTTAAATCAAACGGATAAAAATGTTGCCAAAGAATTTTTTGAATTATCAGAAAAAATTCAGTATGATGTAAGCTTTGAAAGAATTTACATTATTATTCACTTTTTTTAATACTACAATTAACTTAATTTTTTTTTTTTTTTTCAGAAAAATATTATGCTTTCTGATCGTACTGCTTCTTTAAAATTCCTTTTTAAAATGGGTAGAAAAAGAGAAAAATTAGAAGAACTCATAATAGAACCATTAAAGCTGTCAATTCCAGAAATCAAACTTAAGAGGAACAGAAAAGTAAACCATGATAAAGTAGATATTGTTAGTGTTCATTCTGTGAACTCTCCCACAGTTGAAGAATTATTTTCCGCTACTTCAAATGTATCATCTTCAAGTTTAGATTCTTCAACTAAAAGCACTAGTACAAACACATCAAGAGCTCGTGCTTGTATTAATGGTATAAAATATTCATATAACTTATTTCATTTTTAGTTTTAAAAAAAAAAAAAAAATTAATTTTTTTTTCAAATTAACAGGTACTACTTGGTCTAATCGATCATCTACACAAAGATCATCGGATCTAGCCTGCAATCGTTTACAGTCTTGGTCACCTGGATCGAAACAACTTATTAAAGCTACTGATGGTTATTTGCTTAAATACTCTGGTAAGACAAATTTTTTTTATTTTATTTAAATCATATATTTTAATTGAAAATTAAAAAGCAAACTTTTTTTTTTTTTTTTTTTTCAGATTTAGATGGAGGCCTTTCTGAATGGGATATAATCAGATCAATTATTTTCACTTGGCAAGGCATCGAAGGAGAAATTTTTAAATTGAATTCTGCAACTTTAACCTATTATATAGATGATAAAGTAAGATGTTGTTATAAAAAAAATCAATTGAATTCGAATTCTACATTTTAAATTTAAACACTACATTGTTCCTTTCAGTATACCATGGATAGATCTTTAAAAGAAAAGGCTGAAAACTTGGCTTTATTGGGTTATCTTCATAATACTCTTCAAAAATATATGGTGGAGCTTCCAAATGCTGGAATGGTACGAAAAAGTTTAATTGCATATGTACGAGAACAATTAAGTGACTATTACACATTAATTGCTAATATTCAAACTCAAGTAAGTTTTTAACTAAAATGAATATTTAAATATTTACAAGTAATGTCTTTATCAAATGAAAAAAATTTAGTATACAATTTTCTTTCGATTAAATTAAGGTATTTTAAATTTAATGTTTGTTAAATATATTAAAGAACGAATTCATTATAGTTTCAGGAAGAAATATCAAAAGAAACATGTGATACTTCATTTAGAAAATCATTGGTTACAACAGAAAGACTCAAACTCTTGTCCTTATATCCTACAAAAATATTTCAAGATTTAATTAGTATATTACATTTCACGGAGCATTATCAAGGAGGATACCTGGCATCTGGAATTCATAGTTTTATAGAACACGGTAATCCTGAACTTCAAACCCTTGTGAAAGGAATTTTGTATCAGGTAAGTTTTAAACAATAAATATTAATAAATTTTATGAAGTATTAGACATATTGGAACACAAAATTATAAAAATTTTTTTTGAGGTTTTCACCCATCATTGAACTTTAAGCATCCCTTGAAAACATTAATTTTTTTTTTAAATAGATATGCAAGCCTTTGTATTCAATGTTAATAAAATGGTTGCTGGATGGAGAATTGGCTGATCCTTATAAAGAATTTTTTATTGCTTCCAATAACAATATTAGTGGTGACAGATTGTGGCATGAAAAGTATACCGTTAGGTAATTATGTACAGATTATAATTTGTATTTACCTATGAAAAATAATAAAAAATTTTTTATTTTGTTTATTAATTAAATACTTTTATATACATATATTTTTTTTTAAGAATTTCAATGCTACCAAAATTTATTAGTGTATCACTGGCGGATAAAATTCTTTCCGTGGGAAAAAGTATTAATTTCTTACGAGAAATTTGTTGCGATGACAAACCTTTTTCTCAGAGAGACAGAATAAAGGATGTTTTTTTAAATACTGACGGTATTTTTTTAATTTTGATCAAATAATTTAATTTAACTGTTATTTAAAATGTTATTATAATAAAAAAATTACATTTTTTAAAAAATTTTAAACAGTTGAAGTCATGTATTTATTGGAAAAAGAAGATGAATTGCATCAATTAATTGACCCAGTTTACAAACAAACAAATAAAAGAGTTATGGATGTTTTAATAAATAAATATTCATTGTTGAATCATTTTCAAGCACACAGAAAATATCTACTCTTGGGTCAGGGTGATTTTATTCATCATTTTATTGATTTGTTGGCGTTAGTAAAAATTTTTAATTATAATCATCACGTTCATTTTAAACATTCGACGAAATGATTTATAAATTTACTTACTGAATATGTTCTGGATTACAGAGAAGTATTAGAAAAACCAGCGGATCAATTGCATCCCCATCATTTGAATGGAATTTTAGAGAGTGCCATCAGAGCAACTTCTGCACAATATGATAACGAAACAATATTAAATCGATTAGATGCGGCCACATTGAGTCATTCAAGGGGTGATACCGGTTGGGATGTATTTTATTTAAGATATCACGTCGATGGACCGATCGGAACGGTAATAATTTAAATTATTCAATCGATTTTCTTAATCCCGTTTATATTAATTTTTTTACTTTTAATTCACTTGCAGGTTTTTTCGTTATCCAAAGAAATTTATCAGCTCCTTTTTTATGCATTGTGGAAAGCAAAAAGAATGGAAATGATATTATCGAAACTATGGAAAAAACAAATAACGTCGTCTAAATTTCTTAAAAAAGTCACTGGTAGGGTGCAAAAAAAAAAAAGAAATAATTTCACAAAATTAATAAAATAATTTATGTTAAAAAAAAAAAAAAAATTTTTTTTTAGATTTAGCACCTTTGCTTAAACAATGTAACGAACTTACATCTGAAATGGTTCATTTTATTAGACAAACGCAGTATTATTTTTTATTTGAAGTTTTGGAATGTTCCTGGAACGAGTTATTAGATGAAATTAATGAATCTGAAAACTTGGATGAAGTTATTTCGGCTCATCAAAGATTTTTAACTAATGTTCGAGCTGGAGTTTTTAAAGATGACTTACACGAAGTTAGTAAACATTAAATTATTTGTAATATAGTTAAATTTATTTAATGTTCCCGGGGGGAACACTAATTTTATATAAATTTAAATATTTTTGTTTTTTTTTAGGAATTATCAAATCAACTTTGCATAGTGTACGACCTCGTACTTCAATTACACAATCAAGTGGATGTATTAATGTCTCAAGCTCAAAAAGAAGTTGAAAAAAATGTTTCTTCTTCAGATTCCGATCAAATATTAAAACACAAAGAATTCACTCAAAAATTTATACCCACTGCGTACATGAATTTAAAAATTCTTGCCAAAACCTACCGCGTAAGTGTTCCTTTAACTAATATTATAAATTCAAAAATTTTTGTTTTTTTTTATTAAAGAGAGTTGTTTTTTTTTTCTTGTAGGATACAATTAAAAAATTTTTACTCATGTTAAATAGTCAAAATGATTTAAGCCTTCAACTTTTAAGCATCAGATTAGATTTTAACGAACATTATAAAAATTTAGATTCACGATTGGTTGCGCCATTAACTTTTCAACATCGTCGTTTATCTTCAATGGGAGATAGCATTACAACTTCTCCATTACTTCCTAGGTAAATTTATTTATTTTCTCTTCTTTTTCTTTTTTTTTAAAAATCATTTTCCATCTGATGTACATATATATAATATGTAAATATTATTTTATTCTCTTTCCTTAAGGGAAGTATTTTTTTTATTTTTTTATATTTAAAATATACGACGTCTAATGATGGCTTTTAGTAAATTAAAATCTGTAAATAATTATTATTATTATTATTATTTGTGTGTGAAATATGTGTCCCCATTGTAAAATATATATACATAATGGTTCTTATGTTGAAAATAATTAAATATTACAATTTATTTTTTGTTTTATATTCTGTATGTACAACATTTTTGGCTCATTAAAATTATGTATTGGGTGAACGATAACCAAATTTATGTTTTTTTTTTTACTGATGTGATTAACAATAGGTGGTAATTTTAGATAAAAGTAAAATAAATAAATGATGTTGAAATTGGAAATAATAGCATAGACATAAAGAAAAGAATTTGGTCCTTAAGTTCATTTAATAAAAAGAAACGAATAAGTTCAGCCATTGCATTCTGTTAAAATTTTAGCTTTTCAATTCTTTTCTTTCACAAATTTACTATAATGATTTCGACAAAATTATTCATCAAGTTTTAAGGCTAGATAAAAAAAAAATGTTTATAATGTCAATTCCATTTAATTACTTTTAACATTGATGATTACAAACAAAAATTGTAGTTTTAGTGTATTTTATTTATTTATTTTAGGAAATGTAGAGTCAGTAGAAGGGATTCAAAAGATGGAATAACTAACTTAGAAAGTAACTGAAAGAAAATATTTATTATATAAACACTACTTTATTTTTATATTTGTGAATATAAAACACATTGATCGTTTGTAATTAATGCTGTGAAAATTGTTAAATTTGTTGGTGCCATAGCATAAACTTGAAAGTTACAAAAAAAAAATTTATTTTCAAATAATGTAACAGTAAATTAAATAAGTTACATTATTTATTATTATGATTACTAATGATTTTTACTAAACAAAAACTAACATAAAATGCTTTATTTTTATATTTAGTATTAAATAACCGTAAATAACATTATTATATTAATTTTTTTAATTGAAGAAAATTCATTTCGATTATTCAGGTTCACATTTTACCATTCATTAGAGTAAAGTTGTAACTGAAAGATTGATAAAGTAATATTTTGGTAATATTTTAAGGCATCTAGAAAAACATTTTCTTTATTAAAAATAAGAACAATTATACCGTTTTTTAGTTTTTTTTTTTTCAATTAGGTTATATTAATTTGTATTATTATCAATGGGAGAGTTTTGTTGTAAACTATTTCATAATATATTTTTTCTACTAATTCAATTTTTAACAATTTATTTATATTTTTTTATTATTATATTAATATTTCAACAATATTTTAAATTAAAATATAAGTTAAAAAAGAAAGATAGTTTATTATTTATTAAATAAATTTAAAGGAAAAAGTTTTTTTTTTTTTTTTTAACGTAAAATTCGTAGAATATTG